ATTAATTAAACAATTTTATGTTCATTGTATGATGACTAGTAGTTGTAATTCTAACGATGACAAACAATTGGAACGTGCGGCTTTCAATTTTCATAATAGATGATTATTAATTCATGAATTATGAAAGATAAAATAAGTTCTTGTGTGTCCATAGCTGAGATTGATATCATTTTGTCTTGTCATATATTGCATTTTTGAATGATTCGGCTTTACTTCACTCTCACATCAATTTTCATTATTTTATGAATATTGTGACACAATGAGGAGTTTTATTATATATGAAACAAATACCTGAAAATCATGAATTGAAGTATCAAATTGTCATTGATGAGATTCAAATATCTACAATTAAAGATAATTTATAACAAAATAATCTATTAAAAGGTCATTAAATCAAATTAGCAAGGTATCTGTGAGCTATGAATTATGAATTGATTATTCTATTCTTGGGGATTGTGATACTGAAATTGAAAATGGTGATAGTATTGTGTTGATCGTATAACAAAATAAAATATTTTTTTTTGAAGAAATTCAAACATTTATCAATAATTTTGCATGAAATGTTGCTATGAGGTTTTACATGCAATTGCAGATAGAATAATAAAATCTAGAAGCTAGCAAAACTTCTAAGTAAAAAAATTTTGATTGATTGCAAATGGGTGTACAAACTAAAGAAAAATTCAATGAATGATGAGATTTTTCAAATACAAGTTGATGATTGCAGATTTCACACAACAAAAAGTTGTGGTATACAAAAAAGTTTTTTCATTTGTAACAATATTTGTTTTGATAATAAATGAGATGAATGTAGTTAGAATTCCTACCAAAATAAGAATTCTAAGTAAAAGAAATAGTGTATTTAAGAAAAAATGAAACAAAAAAATCATTCCAAAATTTTTGAAAACATTATATAGATTGAATCAAGTTTATATGCAATTAATTGCAAGATTTGACAAGTTTTTAAAAATAAAAAATTTCACAAAATGTGTATAATATACGTATATACATGAATAATGTGAATAATGAGATTTTGATTTTATCATTCTAATATTATACGTAAATCACATACTTGATTTGACAAAGATATCAAATCTAAGTTTACAGATGCAAAAATTAGTTTAAATATGCATGTATTAAGGATGTGAATAAGTCTAAGAGTAAATTAGAGATGAATATTCATAAACAATTGAAGAATAAAATTGTATATGATTGAGTTCATACAAGTATTCAAGTTCATTGTAATAATCAAAGAGAATTACATCTTGCTTCAATTTTAATGATAATTTTAATCTATGAAAATTGTAATGTGTAATAAAAATATTGAGCTAATCAAGATTGGCAATAAACTCAATCGAATTGAAACGCTCATCAAAATTAATAATTTGAAAAAGTTTAGAAAACATTGTGCTATCATGCAAATTTTGCATGATGAACACAAGCAAAATTGATTAGTTACTTTTATTATTAGTATTCGATCTATTATGTTTTGATTGCAGTTTAATTTCAGTTAGTTATTTTTAAAACAAATGACATATGTTAGGTTTTGTTTTATAATTTTAAGTGAAGCAATATATAGGTTATTGAGCTTGTTATTTCCACAACATGAATTAAGTTAAGAAATAATAGTGCTTAAATCAAATCTTGGATTAAATTTTGATTAACGTAACTTTACTTAGATGTAACTTTATACCTAATCTTGATTAAGGTTAAAATAAGTATCTATGCTACCTAGTATATATAAAAGTACAAGCATTATCTCGCATTCAACACCATATGAGTTTTTTTTGAATTAATCTTGTTGTTTACGTGGATGCTTTCAACCATTATGAACTACATATTTTTTTGTAGGAGAAATTTATGCATGAAATTTTTACAATATTTTACCATGTAATTCTATTTTAGGTTTAAATTAATAAAACACAACTTTGTTATAAATTATCTCAAATAATATGATTTAAAAAATTGTATATTATTTTATTTTTAAAAAACGTAGTCATAATTGTTAGGTGTTTAAAATTATTATGTATTATTAAAAAAAATTGAACAAAATTATTTTGTAGATTTACATGGCACAAAATATTCAAATTCAGTATTTTTGATGAAAATTATATATATTTTTAAATTTTATTATTCGAAAGTATTATTAACATAAAAGGTTTATAAAATTGATTTTAAATCAAATATTTAAGCTAAACTAGAATCTCTCTTGAGTTTTCATTTGAAAACTCTTGATACAACAAGTTAAATTTTAGAATGAAGATCAAACCTTACTTAGAAGAAGAGATATTATGATTTAAGCTTAATTGTATGCTTGTGACGCATTTACAAAATTTAACATGAAAAATTGTCAGTAAGTTCATATTTTTCTTATCTTGTTTTGAAATTTTAATAGATTTTTTGTCAAATAAAATGATGTGAGTAAAAATATATATCACAACAAGATGTAAAGATGTTTAATAATTTTGATCAATTATATTCAAGTTGACAATGTTGTAGTTATGATCATGATTTAAAACGTAAACTTTAAATAAATATTTTTATATGTTAAAAAATAATTTTTTTATATGTAAAAAATATACATTTAAATTTATTTATGTTTTTATGCTTAGATACTAATATAAATTTATTTATTTATTTAATAAATTTATTATTAAAATTCACATAGATTAATAATAAGTTATTATATTTTACAATTATTTTAAGGTTAATCATTGAGTAGCTATTTCACTTAAAGTTAAATGTGTTGATGCATAAAATACTTATTGTAAAATTGCATAGTTTCATTTGGTATTGCAATTGAATTGATAAATTTACAATTTTGAATATCAAAGAATTTAATTATTGTTTAAACTGATTAGTATCAACATAAAATTGACATATGATATTGTGAATTTTCATTATGATAATGAAAATAATTTGGAGCTAGTTGTGAAATTCATGAAATATAACATATGATATAGTTTTTTTGGACATGATTATAATGATGATCATGGCTCTTTACATTAAGCATTATAAAAATATGTCCAATTTCACTCATTTCAAACCTTGTGCATCACTAATCTCCAAATTATTTCTCGAGTAGTTTCAGAACAAAAAAATTTCAAATTGGTAAATTTGATCACTTCATGGTGTGGACGTTCTCAATTGCGCTGTATGCCTCAACTTGCATAGGTACTTCATACATAGATTTTCGTGTTCGTTTTGTTTGGAAACGCTAGCTTTATGATTTGCATGTTATAACAATTTACTTTTTCGGATCTCATATCGTTGTTATAGTTCTAAATTTTGTGCAAATTATTTGATATACTCTTTTCTAGCTCAAGAAATCAATTAATTGATGCATCGTGAGACGGAGCTTGTTGCACACCTTGAAGCAATAAAATAGTAAGAGTATGTTTTCTGAGAGAATTTTTGCTTCTCATACATGTAAAAATTATTCGCATGGTTGTTAGTAACTTCGTGGATATCTGTATCCATACGTAGAAGACACGAAAGCAGATATGCTGTCCTTACGTTGGTTCATAGAGATCGAGAAAGAGAGAGTTATTCAGATAGTGGGAACTGTACACGGGCAAGATACATATTAGAAGATTTACCGGAGTGGATCGAGATGGGATTTGGATCCAGACAATTTGGAAATAGATCCACTCGCGTATGATATTATTAGTAATATGGTTTGAGAGGAATTTACTTAGATCTGAAATTTTTTATGTCGAGTTTTTTTTTGTGAGAAGTTATGGTTGAAATTGATACAATGAACTTTGCATAGAATTCTTTTTTTGTAGAATTTGATTGAATATTTGTCTTGAACTTTTTGAAATTGAATCATTTTTCTATAAAATTGAATTGAAATCGATTGAATGTTTGTCTTGAATTTTTTGAAATTGAATCATTCTTCTGTAAAATTGAATTGAAATCGATTGAATGTTTGTCTTGAATTTTCTGAAATTGAATCATTCTAATCGTGCTTAATTCATTAAGGATTTGTGTCTAATTTACAGATGATGAGTGTTTAAATTAGTTAGTTGAGAACACATTATGCAGTTTATTTTTTTATGTCATGATGAAATCAACAAAAATTTTCCTTTGTAAGTTTATCTAGACATTGAATCTAAGTGAAATGTTATATATAAGCAAACCTTACAAGAACAACAGTAACACCATAATTCTATATTATTTTTATCTATTATGTTTAGGTTAATACGAAGGTTTTTATATTATATTATATTTTCAAATTTTTAGTTATGAAACCAATAGACATTGAAGAATTTCAAGATCAAAATTACGAGGTAGATGATTATGTTTACTTTGCATCTTGATGAAATTGAGTTAGGCTGCTACATTAGTTAGATATTGACTTACATTAGTTGACACTAATATAAGCAAGTGTTTGCAAAAGCTCTTGATGACATTTATTCTCATTCTTGCATAGTAATTTGAGAGATAAAGTAAAAAATCTTGATAGATTCAAGTACACTAAAGAAAACTAAAGCAACTTTTCTTCTTGGAAACATGCTTAAATTGATAAACAACACATTTCATGTGTTGTTTATCAACCACTTGTATGCATGTTTTTACACATTATATTCTCCAATTCATATATTAAAAAAGTAGTTTCATAACTTTCAAATGTGAAAAGTGATTTTTTGATGAGATCATTTATTCATTTAATATTAAATTCTTCACCATCCTGATTAAATTGACATGGATCTTGACGAAGTAATAGTGCTTGACGTTTTAGATTTATAAAAATTATGTAAATATTATTTTTTCTTCAAAGAAAAATTATACAGATTATATTGATTCATTGTTGATAATCTACAATCTCATTTTATATACAATTGGTTTTAAACTTAAAACTTAAAAACAGATAAATGAATGAAATTGATGAACTCATGTTATCATGATATGAACTTTTCTTTGAAATCATACTTTTAAATCACAAATGATCATTTTCAAGATAAAGTCAAATCTACGATAAATTGAAAAGGAGTTATGTTACAAATTTTTTTCAATTAAATTGGCTTCGTAATTTAGATTAATCCAAAGATCAAGCATTGAATTTACATGACATGAAAAGTAGTTTTTTAGGTCACTAGTTATCAAAATCAGAATTAGAATATTGAAGTTGTATTATCTGTTCCGAAGTCCTCTCTCTGCAGTGATTCATTGGGGATCCTAAAACAAAGTAAGTTGTAAGTTCTAGGAATTAGAATAAAAAAGGTCACCCTATTTCAGACCTTAAACTCATCGAGTAAATGCGCAGTGGCTATATTTTTACCTCTCGAGCTGTTGGTTCTCCATCGGGCTCCGGAACGAGATTGATGTACCAATTGTCCCGCACATGAATGTCAATTGCAGTATACGTCAGTCAAGACTGCTGGTTACTGGTTAACGAACCCTTCAATTAGAGAACATGCCCTTACCTTTTGATCGAGGATTGTACTGGCGGGGACCTCGGAAGTAACATCGAGCAATCGAGCGGATCGAAATTAGAATCTTGGGCCGAACGACCGCAGTGTGACAGAATGGATGAACATCTCGGTCAGTGAGGTGGTAGTCTCTAAAAAGTATAATCGGGAGGATGATTATGGTTTTCTCGACAAGCACCTTCGAGCAGGGTGGCGTCAAAGCTCGCGGGGCTATAAGGAGATATATTCCAGACATAGAAGTGGGGCCTGTCACGCTCATCTACAAGCGTATTGTAAGGCACATTTGCGGCTCGGCACAGGAACAGATAGTTCTCGTAGTTGTATCGTCTTTCCTGCACCGGTGCCTCAACCGGCCCGTCTTCGGCCAGCACACGATCCCAGATCACCTTCCATACTCTAACCGCCTGCGGACAGTCCCGGCGGTACCTAACATCTAGTTCCAACTCCCGCATCAGCAGGTCGCCCCAGGGTAAGGGGCGACCGGTCAAGAAGGTCACCATGGTCATGGGAAAGTAGGTGGCCGGGAACAGGGCGGGAAAGCCCAGCCAGCCAAAGATGTACGCTATCCGTAAGAGAAACGTGTAGAGCGGCTTGTGAAAGCACGAGTCGAGGACTGCCACGTCGCCGAGCATATCGTTGTCCCCGCACGGCCAAAGGGCGAAGTAGCGGAGGGTATTTCTCCAGAACTCGTAGTTCCGGTAATCCGTGGGGTAGCAAAGCCTTTGGTCTCCCTCAGCATGTTCATAAGTTCTACCGCACGGCAAATCGGGCCAGATTTCCAGGATGAAGTCTATGGTGATTGTCCTGCGGGGAATGCGTCGGCCCATATACGGCTCCGACGGCTCTACGACTATCGCGTTCAGGTCCATCGACCAGTAGATGTCCGGGAACTGGTCCAGTATGAAACTCCTTCTCACTTTGGGGAACTCGTAGGAAACGAACTGCCAGACGCCGGCGTTTATGAGACGTTGCCGTCGCCCTTGTTCTCTGGATATGGGCCGGACCGTCGGCGCTTTCCATTTATAGGGGCAGAAGCGACTGTGTCGGTGTACCCCTGGTGGGCGGTCTGGTGGCGCTTCTGGAAGCAACGCAACGGGGCCCGGCGGGCTGGGAGGGTGAGGGGGCCACAGAGGTGGCGGAGGTGGTGGAGCTGGCGGAGGTCCGATAGGTAGCGGAGGTTGCCAACCCGGTGACCGAGGTGGAGATCCCGGTGACCGAGGTGGAGGAGGGTGAGGGGGCCACAGAGGTGGCGGAGGTGGTGGAGGTGGCGGAGGTCCGATAGGTAGCGGAGGTTGCCAACCCGGTGACCGAGGTGGAGATCCCGGTGACCGAGGTGGAGGAGGTGTCCGAGGTGGAGATCCCGGTGGTAGCGGAGGTGGAGGAGATAATTGTAAGTAAACTCCGAGGCCTGGATTATCTTCCCGGTCGAGATAGTCCAGCAGATCTACCATGGCGCCGTCGTCGTCCTGGGGTAAATCATCCGGCTCCGGATCTAGCTCCAAGCCTTGATACTGCCTCTCTTCCATCTCGAAGTCGTCGTCCTCCTGCGATAAGTCTGGGTTCATCCAGGGTATGTGTTGAAAAGTCGGACTCGGAAAATCCGCAGCCGGCGACCTCTCCTGCATCATGAAGTCTTCGTCTCCATGCATAGCTCGCCACATCGTGTTTGGAGAATCCAGATACTGCTCAGCAGGCGACTCCGGATGATCGGCATGGTGTCTATCAAATGAGGCTTGTGAGATTTGGCCACGAGGAGGCGATGGCGATGGTGCTGCCATGATGCCTGTCTCTTGTTTCTGCAGTTCTGTCTCTTGTTTCTGATGTGTAGTTTTCGATGCCTGTGGCTAGACTCGAAGGATGCCGAGATTTACCAAATTTTAAGGGGTCCAAACTCTTGTGCGCGGTCCGGACGAAGAACTTGGCAAGCCCGAGCTCGCATGCAGGTAGCAGTTGATGACCGTGAGAGTGATACAAACGTCAGGCACGACCAGTACCGAGGTCTGTGATGTAATGAGGGTTTCATTGCTGATGCCTCGAGCTACCCTCGGAGCGATGTGCTGAACAAACTTGAAGCAGCTCTACAGGTTTCTATCTCATACTACCACTTCGGTCTCGGGGTCCTACCCTCGGTACAGCTTCTAAAAACAGCTTCAACAGCTTCTAAAAAACACTTCGTCCCGAGTACTCACTCTGCGAGCAGCTTACCCTTGCAGTCTCAGAGTCCTAACGGTCGACAAGTCTGTAATGTTTATCACACCGCGAGAGAGCTGTTACTCACCAGCCTCGTGCGATCGAGGAATTTGAGCTGAATCTCGAATATTAATTTGGTAACGAGGTTAAGTCCTTAAGTCAGAAGGTTGTCCATTTGGCGAGAGATACTTACGTGATTTGCGAGGTTTCCGCGAGCTGGATTCATGAGAGCATTGTGGTGTCATGGTTAACAGGGATCGGGGGTTTGGACTTACATTACTGGTTTCGGTAGTGACACCGCGTGACTTGTCGTTCATACCGGAGCATCGACCTTGGGGATCCTAAGGCTCCTCTGGACGAACGAAATATATTCAAAGCAAGTGCTTGGAACATCCAAGCATTTGTGCATGCTACGGTGGGGGTGCGATCTTGTAGTAGGATGCAAGGACGACAAACCGAAGCTTAATCTTGTTACGTGACCGATGCAGGCTATCTCTGAATCAACTTGATGAAGGGAGCGAAACACAACATGCGTCCCTGCTAAACAAACTACATCCGGATATCGACAGGTTGAATTCTAACAGGTACTGCCTTGGATCGATAGTGGGGTGGGGGGAAACCGGAAAGGATATGCCACTTCAAGTCTCCCAATAGATTCGCTTGTGTTGCTCACGGGCAATTTTACCAGCACCCTGTTTGAAGCATGAAGACTTCGTCAGATTGTGCCCAATCTCTGGATGGGTTTCTCTACAGCCGCATGAAATATAACAAGTGATAATAATTTTCTACTTCCCAATTCCTGTCGCATACGTAATGAAGTACCCTCGAGTTATCTAGCGTACACACGCTTAGCGAGACGATCGTAAAACCAACAGTCTGATCTGATCCATGTTCCTCAAAAGGCGAACTCCTACGAATTTCAAGGGCCTAGACTGAACGGTGCGCGAACGAGCTTTGTTTCAGACTATTGGGGTACAGTACTTCACAAGGGGGAGGGAGTCTCTCCATGACAGGTCAGAGACAGAGTAGGGATCGCCTATCTATCATATTGGGAACAGATCATGCACGACCTAACAGAGCTGCAAATCGAGGTTTCCAGCATGTTTTAGAGCACCGATGTTTGGACCACACTCCGGGAAACATTCTCGCGTTGTGCTCCGAGGGCGGGCATGGCTCTCCCACCGCGAAGATCAGCAGACAAGGGGCCGAGGCCATGGGCGAGGGACGTAGACGATGTCATCTCCTGCGAGCAACCACATCCGTGCCTACTACCGCCAACTAAGTGACCACCACCAACACCACCACGTACAAGCGCTCGGGAAACTGCAGTTACTGCACCATGCTGGTCTCGAGGACATTCGTTTTCCTGCCCTCGGCCGAAAAGCAGCGGCCGTCCGTCCAACCCGAAGAAATGCATGCACGCTATGGTTGGCTCCACCGACGGATGGAATCTTCCAAAATTCCCCGCACAAATCCTCGGGTCCGTCGACCGAGGCCGGAGATGAAATCCGAGCAGCTGACTGAGAACCGGGGCAACTTCTACTACCTGGATGACCGGTGCCCGAGTTTGCCACAAAATTACCTGACCATGAAAACTACGACTCCGTCGCGGCGGGTCTCGCCTCCTTCCTTCCTTCCATACTTCGTGGTTTCCTCGAAGGCTGCGGCCTGGCCGAAATCGAACGGGACCCGCTCTCGGAGCATCGCCCATGGCCGAGGGCCGGGCAAACGTGCCCGCTCTGCGGAACATTGCGACGCTTCGTGGTTCCTGATCCGACGGTCGGTGTCAGCGGCCTGGTGACGGGGCAGTCACGCTCGTAGATCCGCCGCGCCCTGATATTTGTGCCGAGGCCAGGCGCGCCATTTATGAAGTGCGCCTTTTTCGTCTCTGCGCGCAGTGGATCCCACATCGTCGCCTCGATGTGTCACTCCGAGTCCCCAAGAAGCCTTCTCGCAAGAGAGAGAGAGAGAGATTGCAGATTTTCTCGGAGTTATTGCGCAGATCATTGGGAGTCTTGGCCCGAGGCTCTGCCCCGGGCCCGGGTTCCCAGCACAGGCGAACATGATTCAGGTTCTGCTCGGACCTTGTTTCGTTCCTCTGCTGCCCCACCGTTTGCAACTTGATTCGGAGGTACAAGTGACATAAGTGGATAGCATATTGCTGTGAGGACTCCGAGTTTCCGGTTGGACTTTTTTTTCTTTCCTCGAAGTTGCACCTTGAGAGTGGACCGAGAGACAGGAATGCACGTTTGGTGGCTCCAGGCTCGATCGAGATTCGAGCAATAAGCTCATCTGGGGTTTTTGATGGAATCTCTTGCCGCCCATAGGAAAGATTCTCTAAGAAGTCTTTCTTTATCTCATGTGTCCCCTTAGTGGAGGAGATTGGTAACTGAAAAAAGCAGTATAAACTTGAAGGAACGCGATTCTCTCTCTAGCTGAGTATTCCCTGCGTCTGCATAACCAACCGACTATGAAAACTAGAAGAATGGATACCCTCCGTACATTTTTCTTACAGCTCAGCGGAGCACCTCTCGAAGGTTCAAGTATTGGAGATATTTTAAAGCATGGGAATTGATGGGGACTGGCTGCGGCTACTCTGATATGTTCTGAAAAATCACCGTGACACATGCGATGAAGAGGACTCATTCTGGTAGTTCATTCTGTCAATCCCCTGATTCCCATATGCTTCTGTCACAGCACAGCAGAGCACCAGCTGAAAGCATGTAGCTTATGTACTGTGGCTGGTTGAAAGGTTATAAGATTCCACGTGGTGGGTGGTTGGTTTAGAATCCAGGAACAGATTTTGAGAAGACACCACTGAGGTTTTTTTAGGGAAAGAGAAAGGGTGTGTTCAGCAAGTGGATTTGGAAAGCCATGATTGGCACAGAGGAGTTTGGCCACAAGTACAACGTTTGAAGTGAGGCACATAAGATTCTTGAGAAGACTAAGCTCATTCGGCCTTGGAGAACCGGGGAGAGTGATTGTAGGGGAGAAGTACATCAAGGTTTCCAGGGTTGACCGTTGTCGTCGGCTCATTGACTACACTTACCAGAATCGAGGAGGTTGGACCGACAATTTTCTTGATATCTGATTGGTTCCATCCGAACCCAGCGGATTAAGTGACAACTCAACGGCGACCCTATGTATTCAACGCTACGCCGTATTTTGTTGGTAATTGTTCAGGCTGGAATACAAGTGGAAATTCGAAGCCCATTGGATTAAAGAGTTTGGCGAGACTAGTAATAACAACTGCGTAGGGTTAACGGTTTTCCTTCAAAAGTCGCAGAATGGAGTACAATGAAAAGGGGCGACGCTTGAAATAGGAAGCAGGATTGCAAAACGATTAAAAAGAAATGGATCACAGGCCCCCTGGCAGCCTAATTCGCAAAATTTCGACCGAAACACCATCCTCTCCACATATCTAACATGAAGAAGAACTCGGAAACTCCTGTGTCCCGAAGACTCGACTACTCTACGCTGGACAGTGGACAGTCAGCATCTCGTTTCCTTTGATAGCTTTGTACATTTTGAGTTCTTGGCAATCCAGTATCAACGATCAAAAGAGGAGTATGGGGCTCCCCCGGGGATTGGCCTTCAGCTGACGCAAATCGTCTCAAGTTCAGAATGAGAGTCGTCGAGTTTCTGTAAACGAGAGTCGCCAGTCTGAAACGGGTCGAGGGTCAAGAAGACATTTGATCTCGGAGAACGATTGATCGAAGCCCGACTAGAAAAAATTGCGAGGAAAATAGTGAGCATCTTGTGGGTAAGATCACAATGAAATAATCGATTCTAGTCTGAAACGGCTCTGCCGTGCTGCGAGGTGTTACTGCGCAGGCTGCCGTAAGACGGCGAAGGACCGGGAGTGTGGATACGAACATAACGTGGCCACTTCTCTGGGTGGTGAGCCCGAATGTGAAGAAACCAAAACTGTAGGACACAAACCAAATGCAGGCTGGCTTCCACTGCTGTCTGTCTGTGGCTAACTGCCTGCCTGGCGCTCTTCACTCCTTGTTCTTGAGCATTGCGTAGACAGACGGCTTGACAAGAGGGGCTGAATCACTCAAGCAGAGGGCCAAGCAAGCAAGCAAGCAAGCCAAGGCAAGCGAAGCAAACCCAAGAGAGCCTGCCGGTGGTCATGGACGATCATGTGCTTGTGCAGGGCACTTTAGCCCATCCTCTCTTCCGCCCCTTCAGTTCCCCTCACCTTTCAACCCTTTCCCAATCGCAGCCCACTTTGGCCAACATTAGCATTCTGGGCTCGTGCTGGGAACTCTTGAACAGAGTACAAGAGAACCACCACCACCACCGAGGTGCGTCAATGACTAGGCGGTGCATCCAGCCCCTAGCTGGTGAGTACAAGAGCAGCAATTGAGCGGTTGCATCAGTCAGACAGACGAGGCAGACGTAGATCAGGCTCCGTGACGAGCACACAGTTTCGAATTGCTCGCACACTCTGCAAAACTGGTGGCGCACATACTCGACATCTTCCCTAGTGCTGCTGCAAGAAATGACGGTGCCAATGTCCCCCTCCCACGAGCAGGCTCAGGCTCAGGCTCAGACTCCGCCTCCGCCTCCGCTTCCAATTCCTCCCGTTTCTGCACCCTCTCCTCCTTCAGCACCTGCTCCTCATTCTACTCTTCCTCCTCCTGTTCCAACTCTACCTTCTGCCATTCTTCCTCCGTCCGAGGACTCTGCGGTGCGCGTTGCAGTGCGCGCTCGCCCTCTCATCGAGAAAGAAATCGTGGAAAAGTGTCAAGAGTGCGTCTCGTACTCTCAGGATGGCCGCCAGATCGTCCTCGGCAAGGACCGCAGGTTTACTTTCGATTATGTGTTTCCACCCATTGTGGGCCAAGAGGACGTGTACAATGATTGCGTCAAGCCTCTCGTAGACAGCTGCATTGCTGGGTATGGATCCAACGTTATTGCCCAGATCCGTTTCTCTGCATGCTCACTCAATTCTCAAGATTCCTAGGAACGTCATTTCTTCGCCAACTCTTCTCAATGGGTAGGGGATAGGGCTTAAGAACCTTTTACACTTGTCCCAAAGATCTGTCCTAAGCATCTGATGCCTTCGAGGATTGCACGCACAGGCCATTCACTAGCTCTGAGGAGGACTTTCAAAGACTTACAGCTCAGAGTGTGCAGATCATACACCCTGTGATTGAGCTATATAATGAGTTTTAAAGAGCAGGGTTCCGGGTCATGGATTTAGACAAGGTTGAGATACGGCATTCCAGAGGTCAAAGGAGCTCAGTCCCTACCTCAACAGCAACATAATTGACTGCCTGAGGGTGGATGTGTTTGATTGCTAAGGTCAGCCCCGAGAGGATGGATCTCTAGGATGAAACTGGGTAGCAGGACCTTGCTCCACAAATCCTACTCTAAACCTGATACGAGCCCCGATCTGTCCCTCAGGTACAATGCGACAGTTCTTGCGTATGGGCAGACAGGGTCTGGCAAGACCCACACCATGGGTTGTGGCAACAATACGTCGCTTTTGGAAGAGGAGTTGGGCATACTCCCACGAGCTATCCGCCAGCTCTACGAAGCTATTGAGGAGCGCACCAACCAGGCCGAGTTTCTCGTAAGTTTCTCTCATCTATCCATCCTTGGCTAGATCTCACAATATATCCGTGATATTTCCGTTACAAGCTGACTAATACACCAGAGCTCATGGCTACAATCTTCGTAGCTTACCTGATGCTAAGAGGTGATTTCGCGCCTGCTGGCAACAAGCCTCACATCTTTGCTCCATCAGACAATGCGTGGTTACTGTTCATGCGAACTTTTATCCAGGGTACTTTTCGGGTGAATATGACGAGTGAAATTGTACGTCTGTAGTGAATCTAATTGATGTATCAGGTGTCCTTGAGATCAACTTCCTGAGGGCGACTTTCCAGGTTTGAGAAAGGCTATGCTGAGAAGAGAGTAACATATTCGGCTTTGGGGATACCGCGTGACTAACAGTTGCTTGTTAAAAATTTGAACCCAGCGTTGGCTTTTGATTGAGTGGTTTGTCGATCTCTAGTGGGCGCGCTTCAGCTAGTCTTGCTTTTCGTTCTCTTTCTGGTGTAGGTGAAATGTGCTTTTGTGGAGATATACAACGAAGAGGTCAAGGATCTACTTCACCCGGACACTCCCTCTAAGCTAATCTCGATTCGAGAAGATGCGAATGGGGACATAATACTTGCTGGAGTCAAGGAGGAGGTGGTTACCAACTTCGAAAGTATGATTCGGTCAGTTATATACCTTTTGGCCTTGCCCTATATCTTACTCTTGAGCTCTTTCCATCTAAAAGTGCTCTTGGCTCCTCGTTTTCGTGACGATATCCTCCGAAATGGAAATAGGTTGAAGCTTGACGGGTATGTAATATTCAACCAATTTGAGTCAATGTTCCACCTTCGAAATCTAGCAGTCCTTGTGCAATTGACAGATCTATATGCCTGCTCTGTGGTGGTACTTGCTTATCTTTTAAGACAACTTGAATCTGTACGTCATGACTGAAGGTTTTTGGAGCACGGGTCTGTTTTCCGGACAACAGGGAGTACTTTGATGAATCAACAGTCAAGTAGGTCCCATGCTATCTTCACCATTATTGTTGAACAGCGTGCGGTTCAAGACGGTGCCCCCGGCACTGATTGTATCACAGCAAAGTTTCACCTGGTAAACTTCGACTCCACTCGTCGGTCTTCAAAATGAAGCGGATCTCTTGACCAGGAGAGTGACTTACAATGAAGGAGAGTGAGAACCAGATTCCTGCATAAAGTGTGTATAACTCACGCTTTGGAAGTCTTTGAACCATGATCTGAATACGCACAATCTTATCTATCCATTCTTGTTAAGTTTAGCGCAATTGCCATATCTTCTCTTGTCGATGTAAAGCGTTTTCAGTGCTTCCAATAGGTCGACCTGGCTGGCTCGGAGCGCGCTAAACGAACGGGTGCTGTTGGACTACGCTTCAAGGAATCAGTAACCATCAATTGCGGTCTACTAGCGTTGGGAAATGTTATCAGGTTGACAATTTACACCACCCATCACAGTTGTAATCATATTTGTTTTTTTTAACCCAGAAGGAGGCACTGTGACTATGCATGAGTAGGAAAACCCCCAGCAGTTTCCACATGAGACTCTACCCTTGCACTTTACATTAAATACTAAACTCATCTCTCAATTGCAAGTAGATGGCACCTTACTGCAATCCTGAGGATGAGTAGGCCAGGAGAATCAAATGAATCTTTGCTTCTCCTTATCTGTCCTCGGTGACGTTAGTATGAGGAAGTTGAAACGTGGATATAGAGCGAGTAATTTCAAGCTGTCTTTTTTTCACTGTCAGATGCTTTTCGGACCATTCTTCTTGTCGCAATACTTTCCGCTGACATAGTGTGTATGTCCCTGAAAGTGCATTGGGAGATGAGCGCAAACGGGGACATCATGTACCCTATAGAGAGTCAAAGCTTACTCGTCTGCTTCAGGTACAACAAAGAATATCTTTGAATAATTTTCGTATTAGCAAGCTGTTGTGCTCAAGACATATTTTCCACACAAACTGGGATAAATCGACCAATTTTGGTTGCTTAAAGCACCCTTTAAGTCTACAGTTGCCTTCATGCCTGCAACATGATTTCGTATTCATGGCTGACTTACAAACCTTGAGACTGGACGATGGCTTAAGAGCCCCACGAACTATATTGCATCTGCAAGCTTGCACCCACGTAACTATCTGTCATACATGCAAGCCTCTGATAGTCCGCGCTTACAAAACTCCCTGATGATCTTGTTCCATTTTTTCAGGATTCTCTTGGTGGCAACAGCAGGACTTGCATGATCGCCTGCATCAGGTAAATTGAACATTATGAGCATTAGAGTTCCTATCCTTTGCAGATGCGAATCACTTAACAAGTTTGTGAATAACATCTGGCGTTTGAAACACTTAAAATCATAATGAAAACATTGAACACGTACCACTTAACTTGAGTATCATCTAGCGCGCTTCGACGTAAATGAAATAGCTGACTTTCTTCTCGTTTCTCTAATCACGGGAGGTAAGACGGAAGTAAAGAACGAGAAATCCAACCCCCTTATCCGTAAAAACTAAGCGTAGGTGAGATGAAGCCTCGAGATTGAACGACCTTGATACCAAGGCGTGTCATGTCACTGGCAAACAGCACAGCAGATACGAACTTTGAGGAGACGTTAAACACACTGAAGTATGCGAACCGTGCTCGAAACATTCACAACAAACCAATTATTAACCGCGATCCTCAGGCAGCACAACTAAACCAGCTGAGACACGAAGTCAGGGTGCGTTTTCAACCCTTGACTAAGGGTGTCGAGCTATAACGACTGCCCAGTGTTTATTAACTTGGGATTTTGATAGTATTAAGTAACTGATCGAGTTTAACTGTGAAGCAATCGTCCTTAAGGAACTCCACTTTACTGGCTGTAATATATGAACAACTCAATTTCTTTAAAAATTTTCTAGTGAGATTGACATGTTCGAGTCAAAGGCCGTGAATTGCTTGGTTCACTGTTTCAAATGCAGCTGATCTGCTGTAAATTCTCTTCTTCAGTAGGTGATGTTCTTTCTGGTTAAATAAGCAGACTTGTCGGCTTAGCTTGAAATCTTACTTACATCATGATATATAATCAACCTGGTTTAACACAGTAATCATGCACAAATTGGAGTATATTCCGCTCTTACGGTAGATTGTTCCTGTATTCAGCCTTGCTAATGCAAAAATACTACGATATAATAGCAGTGGTTTTACTGCAGATTGCATAAAGAACACAGTCACCCTATGATGGGACTTGTCAGGTTAACATTTTAGACATTAAAATATGATGTGACAGGCTTTGCAAGTGGAGTTATTGAACACGCGTATGCAAAGCATGGGACTGGAGCCCGTCACTGGACCTCAGAGTTTGGAGACACTTCTCCAGGATGAATCTCATCGTCAGTTTCTAGATGATATCAGGCAAGTTTCCCCGCCTGTGAACTGTGAACCTATTACCTATTCTATGTCTTACTTGCTTCCCAAGTGGATCTCAAATGTATAACTCACAAACTTCATCCTCCGTAAACAATGCTCATACTTTGATGGTGACAAAATGCTACAAATTTGGTCTGAGATCTTATCCGGAACATGCACACCTATGAGGTAATACTATCTGTTTGGATTTCACGCTGATGATGCAGCACAAAGGTATTCATTTGAATCACAACCTTGGTGCGACACAACTAAATATCTGAAGTGCGAAAAAGTGTTCTATCGCAGGTCCAGAGCAGATGCCTCATCAAATGTGTCCAACGAACTCTTGACTGTTCATCGCAAAAGTCGCGAGAGGGAGCAGGAGTGCATGAAACTGAAACAAGACATGAAGGTAACCCCTGATACAATTGCTGTTAACATCACCTTCAGTCAAGAGACCTGATCCTTCGGAAAGTTCTTAGAGATATTGTTACCTAAATATATTGATCTCACACATGATTGCAGTGGCCAGCTCACATAAATTCTTTGGTTTTGATCATGGCAAGACATTCGTCAATGAAGATTCTTGGTAGAATTTTTTATAACAGTTAGGCTGCTGTCAAGAGGCATTGATCATCAAACCCCGATAATATGAGCAGACAGTCTTCTCATAGGAAGTCAGAGAGTTAAATTATGTGGTTCACCCGAATCAGACAAGACACACCTGTACTCTTGTAGATAAAATTTATGACTAAAAGTTGTGCAAAATCAAGCTGCAGAATCCAGATGGAACTTGTAGTTCAATGTGGAGAAACTAGCTTGGAAGATTAATGCGTTTAGGTTAAGCGGCTTTGGTGGATGACAACATGATTATGTCCTTTATTCCACAAAGTTCTCTCCACAACTGTTGCTACATAGCGGTGGATGGAGACAAAGTCACAAGCCTGTAGAGTCTAATTGACTAAATTACTACTCTACTGTGTAAAAACTGGATGTGCCATCCAAATAAGTCATATTTATTGGACACTTGTCGTCCTCGCGTCAAACTGTGGGCTTCGGTGTGAGCCTTAGGTCTCGCCTTTCATGTGGTTCAGAAGTGGAGGACTCCAGTCACTTCATGTGGGAAGCTCCGTTCCCTTCATGCCGCAATGGTTGAAGTCTGCAGAGGCAGATCTCGTCTTCTTCTTGGACCGTTGGTATTTCTTGAATTTGTTGGATTTATTCACCATTAGTGGTTGCTCCTGATTTTACAGGAAGCAGCTCTAACTTAGCAACTCATGGTCTGAACGATTACAACCTTATCGACGTTGTGCTTGTGATATCCATGGAGCTACTTTGAAAGGACTCCTAATTTGTGGGATTCCTAGTTTGAACCAACCGAGACTGAGCCTTTTGTCTCCTTTCCTCCCAAACTATGAAACCATAGCTGGAAGAAGCATGGAATTAAATATTTATGAGCAGCTTATAATGGTACCTTCCCATTGTGAGCAGAGGAAGGTACCCTCTGCTTGTAAATATGCTAATAAAAAGGAACGCGAGCACATCTGTTAACGTTCATTTCTACTTCAATTGCTTTGATTGGTAGAGACAATCTAGGTCCAGTCAAGGCCAGAGTTACGTTAAAAAAAATGAGAATTTTCAGATCATTTCCTGAACACGTTTCATGTGTTCAGACATCGGAGTCTCTCATCTCTAAACTTCAAGAGGAGATCCTCGAGCTCCGTACAGAACGAGATCACTACCAGGTTAGACTGATAATTTCTGTGTATAAATCTGCATGGTATTTGAAATCGTTTGCTGACATTTGACTTCAGAAGCTTGAGTTATGGAATCCTGGGTAGTGATTTCCTCTGAAATTAGTTTGTTAGAATTTGTGTTGTTAAGATACAAGTTATATTGTTGACATCTGAAATGAACATTGAAATAGTGAAGAAACCTAGATATGTACATAAAGGGACATGAATGTTTTATCTCCAGGTTGATCTGTATCCATATCGCCTCAAGTCGGTGAAAAAAGACAGTACTCTAATCTCTGTTCTGAACTGCAAAACCAGTTGAAACTTGATGAAGTCAATGCAGAGATGGTCAATCTCACAAGACTCCTTCCAGAGTGGGAAAATGCCGGAGGCATTTCCTCTTCTCCAAGGGAACATTTGGCTGAAATGACCAAACGACTTGCTGGAGAAGTCGATGCCGAGGGCAACGATTCGGATCAACTTTGCTCTCCTCCTAATGGACATACGGAGAGGTCTCCTTTGGTATCAGTTCCGCAAAAACTTGCAACTGACAGAGAATCGTCAGTTGAGGAGAGATCAATGGTGAGAAGACTGCTGGTTATGAACTGCTAAAGTTAACTATACCACAAGAATATCAGTCAATTTTTCTCCTATGCTAACACGTTCGAAAATGTGTTCAGTCTTTTACAATTTCAGTGTAGACATTTCCCTCAAAAATTGCAAAGGATACGGGATAAAGACATGTGATCTTTTGCTACTTATGCTGCATGCTTACCTTTTGGTAGAACAGCCCATGTCGCGTGCATCTAGATGAAAAGGATAGAAAACGTTTGGTCTACCTGGCCGCACATTCTTAAGAATATCATTTGCAGGCTCTCCTGGAACACAAAGAACAGCCCGCTGGCTGTATTCTGATTTATGCTGTGAGTAGGGTGTAACGAGTTCGCATGGGCGTGCCTCAAGTAGAGGTACAAGGAACGTGATCAACCAGCATTTGAGAAGTATTCGAGTACTGGAAGAACAACTGGCAGTAAAAGAGAGTGACGTCAGGGCACGAGATGAGGCTTTGATGGAAGCGAAAGATGATCTTGCGAGAGATGAACGGATTTTTGCCGAGAAGGTTGGACATCTTATACTGGGATTAAGCTCGGTTTGACTGAAACTCCGTCTCAATATATAAACTGCGTATTGTATACCTCCTAATGGACTTAAATTTTCAGTGGATGAGCAACTTGATTGGATGATAGGACGGTATGTACACATTGGAAGTATAAGATCTTGAACCGAGTTGTGCAGTGGTAATTTTGTGAATTGGTAAATCTTCATCTTTAAGAATTCTTCGTAATGAATCTCTTTTGCAGATGAAAGAAATCAAGTCATTGAAAGCTCTAGCAAGAGATTTGGCGAGTGAGAAGCAAGACTTATTGATAAAATTGGAACATGATGCTGCAATTATATCAAATATGTCGAAAGAAGCTATGGCCAAGGACGATCAACTAGCACGCCTGAAAATTTCTCTGGAAGCACTTGTATCAGGTAGATCTGATGGCCACATAGGATCTGCCAGGTCCAAGGCAGATAACGATCTCCGGCAGTACGAGGATCTTCCTCAAGTCTGTGAATCTTGTGAAGGGGTATGTAAAATAATGCCTGCTACAAGAGACATTGTCTCCTCCATAGTTAATGTCGTCGTGGCATATGTTTGTTTAGTTAATACCACTAAGAATGCAAGCATCGCAAGCTTGTGTAAAAAATGCAAATGTAAGTCAGTTCTTTCAGTATCCTGTGGGACAGTGACTACACCAGTTGCTCATACTAATACGGCGAGTTAGCAACGGCAGTTAGATTGGGACTTTGCATGTCTTATTTTCATATAATTCATGGTCATTAGGAAGAGTTCAATTGACTGGGCTTGATTTCTTATCATAATTGTGAAATACATGATAGTGGTATGCCTGAACAAGCACAAACATGATCCAATCAGGGTAGAGGAGACATTGGTGATGGAGCTGATCCAGTTGCTACACCCAACGTTGACACGGAGAAGCAGAAGTTAGAGGAACTTGCGGAGAGAATGAAGGTTCTGCTTAGTCCCATACTTACAAAACTTACCTCAATCTATCTATGTCTGCTCCAATGACCCCAGTTTGGATCCAGTGTGAAAGATACCATATATTCGAGTGACCAGTCGTTCATCTGAAAGGTCTTAACGTCCAGACTTTTTCAACTTTGGCCAAATTTGAAAGAGTTTCTCAGCAAACTCAGTAGTTTCTCAGCGGACTCTCAGCAGATGCACCTCATAGACCATATATTCATTGTACCTTCGGCAGCAGGTTTTGTTTTCGCGTGACATGTGAGTCTAAGAAGACACTTGCACTACCTGATAATGTCCCACAAGCGTTAAAGTTACAACACAAATGCTCGTCAGAATATCATCTGCCCTTTCTGTGTTACTAAGCCGAAGACAGTCTTTTGCTCACAGAGTTTTATCGGTATAATTTTTAATTTGAGACTGATTGTGGGTCATATATGTTATAAACCTTCAGATAGATGAAGGCTTGTAAATGACATGTAAACAAATTCGTTTGTCTGATGAAATCATAGGCTGAGGAGGACGAGAAGGAGAGGTTACTATTTGAGAAGATAGCTATAGAAGAGCAAAAATCACGTCTTGAAGAGGACGTCCGTCTTCAAACTCGTGAATTCAAACGCAGCAAGCAGATCATGGATAAGCAGCTGCATGAATTAGCATTGAGTATTCAGCAAAAGGAGGAACTTATACAGGAGCTAGCTAGGAATGAAGCTGAAGCCAAACATTTGACTCTACAATATGAGTCGCGCATGCTAGAGCTTGAAGCTGAGGTGATTGAGATTCTTTACTTGATGCAGATTATCATGTTACCAAAACTTCTTCCGCATGTCTGTTGTAGCAAACTCTGCAAGTCCAGAGATGATGTTAAGAAAAATAAAATCCATATGTACAGATGAGACGGAAGGAAGAGGAAGTGGAGGCTCTCAAGAAGGAGCTCGATGCAATTGATAAAAATGCTGCTAGAGGAGTAGAAGAGAAGAAGAAACTTCGCGAGCAATATGAAGAGAAGGTCAAAAGAATTACAAGCCAACTAATAGCATTGAAGAAACAACGTTGGGAACAAGAATCACAACGGCTTGAACGGCATAAAGCGAAATCTGAAGTCAAAGTGAGTTTTCGCAGCTTGTCGTCAATTTAGGCAAATTAAAGCAAGAAGGTAGAAGGGTGAGCCTCTTAAGAGGTACGTATGTTGAATACATCTGTAAATGACTCAAAAGATTTTACTGTTTCTAGTTTCATCAGCGGTGTCATACATTCTTTCTTTCGGGTAGAGCACTGGGTGATTTCAACATCCGGGCCAGTTTTCGAGAGAGTTCTAACTTGAACAAACTTTCATTTTTCGTAGGAAAAGAAATCTAGCTCCGTCATACTTTCTGCCTTGAAGCTAGATAACTGGATGAGGACAGAAAAATCAGTTCAGAAGAGATGCCTCTTACGTAGAGGTGTGCAAGTCAAATGCTGTAACAAAATAGGGCCCTACAAGATAATATGTAAAAGAAACAACTCATAAGTATGAAGATATGTGTAGGTGCAAAATTTACAGCATGAAATAACTCGGATGAGAGCTCAACAAGACTCACTCAAGAAAAAAATCAAAGAAACAACTGATATGTACGAGGATGAACATGAGCGTCATCTGAAGAGTATGGCTGCTCTGAAGCGTGATTCAGAAGCTCAGTTGAAGCGAGTTCGTGAACTTGAGGTATTTAAGATTTATTACGTCCCTACACAGGCGTTCTTGTTTTGGGTCGTGTGGTTACACTCTGAGGTTGGAAATATAGTCCAGCGTGTTTCATAGACAAATCAGTTTCTGTCTGTTTTCTTTCCTGATTTGATTTCCTCTGAAGATGGAGAATCAGAAACAACGAATGGTTGTTAGAAGGAAAAACGAAGAAATGGCAGCTGCAAACAAAAAACTCAAGGAGCTTGGCTTATTGGAAGTTGACACCTCGTCGAAGTTGAGCAACCGAGAAAGGAGTATGGCTTATGATCAAGCTCATAAAACTGCAAGGAGGGGCAATACTACTGCAGTCCTGCCACTCCCAGATGCGTCATCTCCAGCTCTGGTGAGCAACGTGGAAAGAACAGTGACGACTCTTGATCAGGAGATTGGCAAGTTTCTAAAAGTCAAGGAAGCAGTTGCTTTGAAAATTAAGCAGGTAAGAGAGGGTGAAATACTTCAACTCTACGTACTTCAATTAACCACGTGATCAAAATGAGCGTACAGTTTAAACCTTACTAGGTAGTTTGTCAAGCCTACTTCGGTCCAGCGTATGAAGGTAATTGGACCTCGAGTCTTAAAAAAGAGAGTAGGATGCATAGAAAGAAAAATATGTACTTGGCCCTTAATGATTTCATGTACTCAATTTAGAAAACACTCCAGTAATTAGAAAAACATTGGAAAATAATGAAGACTGGGGAATCGGCCTTCAAGGGCAGAAATTTCATGTAATTACTTTAAAAACACATTCCAGTACCTACCGAACACTGTAAATGACTATTGGAAACACACTTTGACCGTTCAATTACAGGAAGCAAAAAAAGAAGAAATACTTCTAGAAAAGGATGAGTGCTTGAACGAACGCTCCAAACTGGAGCTCAAGCATGCAAGGGCCGTTCATGACATTGCTCAAGAACTGGAGAAGAGAACGTTGTACATTCAAGATATGGAAACTAAAGTTGAACTCCTACAAACCAAAGCAGAAGAAGCCAGAGTACAGGGCAGGACGGAGATTGCGCAGGATCTACTTCAAGAGGTATTCCTTTCTAATGTCTAACTTCTGCTATTTGATCTATCCAGTTTGTGAAGATAAGGGACTACTTGTTGATTACTAAGGAGTAGATAAATGCAGTTGACCACGTACCAGGTCCTGAACAAGTATGAGTTCTCTCTTTTCGTGCAAGTAGGTCATGTCTTTGAGAGATCAATGTCAGCGGGAAAAACACGAGTGCGCGATGCTTGAGGAAAGCCGCAAACCTCACAAACTTATGACCAAAGGGGAAGCATCATTAGTAGGAGAGTTGGATGAACGCATTGAAGCTCTGGATGCACAAGCAGAGTATGTTACACTGTCCATTGCAGAACAAGAGAAGAATATACAAGATCCTGCAAGCACATTGTGAGTATCGATGAGATTGAATGATAGGGTTCTTCTTCTGCTCTCTCGTATCAATCTGATTTGTTTCCCCAATTAGCTTAAGAAACCTTCAAAAAACTGTTATAGAACATCGTAGTGAATATAAGAGATCAGATTGATGAATTCACGGGAGAAGTCTTAGGAATGAAATAATTATCAATCATGACTCTGGTATCGAATACTGGTCTGGAGGCGACCAGACCATAGAAAGTATGTAGAGTGTGAATACAACTTCTCGTCTATCACAACCAGTGTTTTGACTAAACCTTATCTTGTCAAACAGGCATACCAAGGATTAACACCATGAAGTATACACCTTACACTGTTTACATATGGATCTGCAGAGAGCAGGTGCAGTCTCAGCTAGAAAATCTTGGATTGCAGGAGGCTAAGGTTGTCCTCAAAAAGTATCTGGAGAAATTTGTAGACATAAAAGACAAGCAAAGACAGGAAGCTAAATTAGTGGCAAACTTAGAGTTGCAACTCAAGGAGAAGACACATGCGCTGGCTGAGGCAGAGAGCAACTCCAGACTTAAAGAGCTTGAGTTTGATCGCCGGTAAGTAGCAGTGAAATCTCTAAGCTCGTGAGTCATGTTTGAACTGTGCATCATTGTCAACAATCAGCTGCGTTGTCGTTGATGGTAGACTCCCATATCGTATTTGCAGGTTGACAGAGCTTCACTCACAACATGCAAAAGAGGTTCAGTATCTGCTGAAGCAAGTGGAAACCGTCTCTGTCACACCGATTATCGAGAGGTATGCTCACGTGCCTAGACTGGAAACGTGCCTCGAAGTTCATTCGTTTAAAAGAGTTACGCACTACTAATCAACTAGCTTAATGAAAGAAAAAGTAATCTGTGTATATCTACGTTCTTCCACAACCTCAATGGGTGATACTCGTGATGCTATCTTGGGACATGACTAAAACATTTGTGGGCTTTCTGCTGAAAACATATCTACAAGAGCTATTTACGTTGTTTGGATCGTAAACATACTTCTGATTCAGATTGCTTGGACAACCGTAGTGAAATGTTCCCGTGAAAATGGTTAATTGTTTGAAATATGTGATTATTTCAAAGGTTTGAGCTGAGGTAAACCTTCAGCTTTTAGAAACTAATATACGCCAAATGGAAGGAATGTGATACAGTAGAAGGTTCCTGACTCCTGCTGTTGCAGGCCAAACAATCCAAGGGCGCCAAATTCATCACCTGAAGTTCAGTCCGAGGAAAATTATGGAGTAGAACGTAGAGAGGAGAATGTAGACAACAGGGAAAATGTAGACGAACATCAGTATCTAGAGACCAATCAGAAACTTGTCGCTCTGCGAAAAGACAACTTGCAATACAAGCAAACAAACAGTCTTTTGAAGCGAAAGCTTCAAGAAATGATATCCGCTTGGGAAGCTGAGAAAAAGGTAATTGTGAACGACGCCTTTTTATCAGGGATCTTAAAAGAGGCAGATTTAGTGAGACAAAGCACCTTCAAATGTGCAGATCTGTCTTATGAACAATACAGCGTCATGACTTATTTAAGGTCAAGCGGACTGATTAAACAGAACTGGTCTGATGATCAACTAACTGTGACTTTGCATTAAAACTGACAGGTGTTCGAGAATATGGTGCAAAATGAGCGACATGTTTGGGAAAATGAGAGAAAGGCTTGGGATATCAGAGCTTGCACATTTCTTCAGCAACATGAGCAGTTAGAAAGACAGCACGATCACCTAGAAAAAGATCATCAGGCACTGAAGGATGAACTCGAGAACACCAAGTCATTATTACACAAGGCTGGACTTGGGATTCGGCTGCCGGTGCGCAACGTGAGAGAGTTAACGGATGGAGACGTGGACATGAGATCAGTGCCACCATCTAGGGGCCATTCCTAGCTCCGAGCGTCCGAGCGTGCCTGATTCTATCAGCACGCGCACTTCCTTCAAGGGTGCCCGAGCATTTTCAAGATTTTGTACTCCAGTTTCCAAGATCGTGTAGGACATGAGTTTTTGATGAGTTACGCTTTTTGAGCATCATCTGTACCTCAACATTTAAGCTGTATTGTTGTAGATAAATTCATACATGTACAAGTATTTGTATTATAAGGCTTGATGAAGCACATGAAGTATTGCAATCACAACGCCTGTGAGGCGTATCGACTCAAATCAATGTAAAGTAACTCCACAATGCTATGATTCCAACGGCATCTTACAAATCCAAGGACGTCAACAAAATCAACAACATCGTGAACATTGTTTGAAAAAAAAAACTCTGAAAGCCACTGAATTCATTAACTGGCTGGTGAGTCGTGGATAAAATCCACAAGTCAATGATGTTATATAATCGACGAGAAGACTGTAAACAAGGAACAAAAGGGAACCCCTTTTAATCTAGTCAACAAAGATTTTGTGATGATATTAAGAACTGACAAGAATCACCGTACGCTGAAGCAGACGTAGCAACCACAATCATCTACTGGGAGTTCGTACTATGCAGTGCAGGAGCATGACGGACAGACACACTTGAGCTCAGTTGCAGCACTTGGAACCCAAATTGGAAGGAAATTGGATGGACATCGGACAACAGGTGCAACAAATTTGAGGTTTTTCCAAGCACGCTATCTGGATCCCCACATTGTGCAGTATAGTACGCCAAACCCTTAATCCAACTTTGAAGTCAACCAACCAAGCTCGAATTCCTGTACAAAACTTGTCGGCGGTAAACGCCAGAACAACAATTGCAGGAGATGTTCATCGCAGATAGCCAGACATAAGATTGAGGAGTGAGGCCAAGCTCGAAAAAACTTTGCAAAACTCGGCGCTCCGAGCTCTAACTCTCTGGGTTACTCGAAGCTCACACTTTTGAAGGAAATCTTTCAGATCTTCCACCTCAAATTCGCGGTGATTGAATAATCAAAATCGGTGCCCACCGTCAACGACCTCACATACGCAGTCACTGGGTCATCTCCAAGTCCACCCGAGCAACATGTCGAGTCAGCCGCCCGTAAGATCGACATATCATCCATGGGCCGCGCAATTCAGCTCAAATCCGGCGCATCCATACCTTTGGAAGGTCGACGGGATTGCCCTGATCATTTCATCTTCGCCTCAGTGAAGAGCACGTGACGCTTGACGACCGGATCGTACTTGCGGAACTCGAGCTTGGTGGTCATTTTGCGAGGATTCTTGGTGGTAACGTAGAAGAATCCGGTTCCCGCAGCCGAGATCAACCGCACCAGGATCGCTCCCTTTCCCTTCGCCATGACTCCGCGAGCGCCAGTCCAATGTGTCCCCTTCTCTCGTCGCTCGCAGCGTTCGATCGCCCCCCAGCAGCAGCTCCTCCAACGATTGTGCAACGGGAAATGTCGCAACGTCCCATGGCAACCCTTGCGGAAGCTGGTGCTGCTGCTGCTGTCAGTGAACGGTGGCCGACCTAGACTGCAACGGCGTTTCCTGCCCCTCCAGACAAGACAAGGACGACGTCCCCACCCGGTCTAGCCTCTAGCCTCCCCAGACTTCGCTCACTTTTTTCCGTGTCCCTGAGAATTAATCCGCATGGTTCATTTCACAAGATCAACATGTTTTATAACATGGGACGTCTTTGTATCTTGCAAAATAAGAATGTGGAAATTTACTCGGTGTTCAATGGTTAATCGATTGACACCTGGAATCATGTTGGATTTTGAGTGTGCCTTGGTTACAACTTAATTTAGATAGCTAAAATATTTTATATACAACAAGACATGTTTGAATTTTGAACACTATTCAATTTGATGAGTAATCTTTCCTTTTATTAATTGGTTTTGAATGAATTAATAACACATATATATGTGTTATATAATATATATATATATATATATATATACATATATATAATATTGAAGCACACAGACCTCATTAAACTTAAATGAAAATCACCTCTAATATCCTTGACATCTGTATTATAGAGAAATATGCGCTGGTCTTTGATCTTACTTGTTTTTTGAATGGTTTGACCAGGAATGACCTTGAGAGCTTACCATAAAAGTGGTTCATTCCAGGAACCATAACATGTGCAAGTGTACAGTTTAGAGATTTATGTAATTTTTTCAAAATACATATCATATGTATTTTTCAAAATATATTATATTCTCTATTGTACACTACTTCTATTACTCATAATACACATAATTTCTTCTTGTAGTTAATTTATTTCAAAAAAAATTACTTGAATTTGTTGTATTACTACATTTGCACAGGTTGGACACACTAAGATTTGATATATCTTGTTTGAATTTTATCGGATTCAATATTACACTTCTAGCTTTTTAATTACTAATAATTTGTATAAAAATCAGTGATGAACTATTCAACGTTAAAATTTACATTCTAGATTATTTATATCTTAAGTTTATAGAGGGTTATTTACTTGATGAAACCCCATAGGAACCTAAACTGCTTTAAGGTACTCATCAAGTTTTGTTTTACATGATGAGAAGTCACATCGTCGCAAACTTCTACAAGTCTTTCTTGTGCACTAAACCTCGCATCATATTCGAACTTTATAGTGTACGGTAACGATGAACTGTAGACATTGTCACAAGCCCACAAACAATTTGGGTTTTGAGCTGTCAAGATATACCACTTGGTGAGCAACAGCAGACGTGTGGAATCTTTGGAGTAAATTTTTTGAGCTGTCAAGATATCCCTCTCGGTGAGTAACAGCAGACGTGTGGAATCTTTAGAGTAAATTCTCATGGAGTGAATGGAGTACTTGTATTACTCGATTATCAAGTATTTTTACAAATTTTGGTGCTACAGGGAAGTCTCGGAAGATGAAAGGTCCGGATCTGATTGCACCGAGTGGAGATTTGAGCGATTCAATGATGCACGACGAGCAAAGTTTCGCTGTCATAGTTCCACTTCCTGCATGTCTCTTGATACAAGAACATACATGACTTGTACATTCGGTAGGGTATCATCTTGTAACATGACATTTAAAGAGTGCAATAAGTTCTAGTGAAGTCCTATCGAATAAATACCTGCTTTATAGACGGTAACTTCATTTTATGTAATATATTTAGGACAAAGATTTTTCCTCCCCAAGAGAATTTAGCTTTAAAAATAAAAAAAGTATCGCAAGTATTTTGCCAACGTTTTATTAAAATATTTTGCTAATTTATGGTATACACAATTAGATATTTCATAGTAACATATCAAGATAGAAAAATCCAAAAACCCCGAATTTACTTAATATACAGATAACCCATATGTCATATTGTCCCGACTAATACTGAAAAAATAATGTACGACTATCGTAGTAAGTCTTCACCTCATTTACGTGCTTGGAATGAACATTCATATCTCAGACTCGCGTCCTTGACTCTATGGACCTGACTCAACATTTGGCATAAATCTCTCATACGCCATCGCTCATGTACGAGCTCTCAGTTGTACTACGCACCAAACTAAAACATGGGAAAGTCTGTAATTGCAAGTGGTTCCAGACTCCTTCGATCTGAAATGCTACATTTGATATTTACAGCTATGGCACATTGTGAACCTGGAATAGGCTCCAGGCTGCACTTGCATTTGCAGTTGACTCTAGAAGCGCATGATGAGACGCGCAGCAGGTCAGTCGATGTAAGCTGCAAGCAAGCAATCGTTCACAGCTTCGTGACGTAAATGCCGAGTCCACCAAATATACTCTCTAATTTCTACTCGCAGCATTCCGACAGTCTGAAGGCAAGCTCCATCGTGCAAATTTCAAGTGCCAGATAATTCGGATCGGTGAGTTCATCGCGACGAGCGTCTGAAGCTTCGGTGTCGCTCGCTCGCTCGCTCGCAGGACTGAACATTTGACGTCGAGCCTCATGGTGACCTTCTCGATTCGCGAGTCATGTCGTGCTGATGATGCCGATGAGGAGGAGGAGGAGGAGGAGGAGGTCAAACGCTTCCCGAGGAACAGGAGGACAGGCCACAGACTCGGCTCCTTGGAGCGAATGCAACCATGGTCGAAGTCTAGCTCGGAGACTCGACATTGGCCGCGAGAAGACGCAGTCTCGTTGTCGATGGAGCTCGCTCGCTCGGCTCGGTTCAGCTCGGCTCAGCCCCAGATGTCCTGCGAGAAGAAGAACTCCTTCTCGAAACACTTCTTCGGCATGAGCTCGTTGTCCACGGTGCCCGCTTTCCACGACACCGTCTTCTGCTTCTTGGCACCGCGAGCCGGGAACCTGAGCTGCAACATCTCGTCCCTCTGCTTCTGCGCGGCGTGTGCTTGTTGCGCGAAGCTGGGCAACGACGAGAACGAAGCTTCACGCAGCCCCAGCTTCTTCAAGTTCGTCAGTGACACGGTCCTCTCCAAAGTCCTCGACATCTCTCTCTCTCTCTCTCTGATTACTCAACCTTCCAAATGCAGCTTCCAGTGGATTCGGCTTTCCAATAAATCACAGAATTGTGCGAACTGTGCGATGTGCAAAGTACCGAGAGCAGCAGTCGGATAGGCAGGACTCGATCGCCTTCTTATAGAGATTTCGCCACGAGCTCGAGAGAGACCGAGACCGAGACCGAGAGCAGTAGCGGTGGAGGAATTCCAGCGACTCTGACGCGGTTCTGGACAAATATCTTTGCGGGGCAGGTAGCTTGACGTGGAAAGCCAGATAAGATCTGCGCGACGTGAAAGATCGGCGCAGGAGTCACGCAGACTCACGCTCTTCCGGACGTGGATCCTGTCCTGCTCGCCGTGGAGCGCTCACGGTCGTCCCGTCGGAGAAGAGCCTCTACGTGGCATGTCCACGGCAGAGGCGAAGATATTGAGGTGGACCTTCGGCATTGACGTCATCGTCGTCCGGACGTATGACGACGGCGACGGCGCCGACGGCAGCAGCCAGTAGTCTGCTCCGCTCGAGGCAGCCAGCCGATGCACGCCTCGGTCGATCTCACTTCCTTGACTTGGAGTGCGTCTGATCCATACCTCGACCCACGCATTCTGCAATGCATTCTCCTTGCATTCTACAATGCACGATGTTGGAGATCTTCAACTCCGCAATATACGGCAGCCTACTCGTGATAATTGAGAATCGAGCGAAGCAGAAGCAGAAGTCGACTCACGCACGCAAACAGAAACAGGCTTCGATTTTCCACGCAATCACTCACTCATTCATTCTAACACGCTCTCAACAATTCTTCCTTCTGAGATTCCGGGAAGAAACGCAATAAATATATGAATCGTTCGACGTGTCGGAAAAATTTCTCACAGCAGACGTTCGGTCGATGAATTCATCGAACCCCACCTCTCAGAGCCCACCCAAATCACAAATCGAGCATTGTGCTTCGTGAAGCTGTCCAGGGAGAAGAGCTGCTTCATTCTCGGCAGCTTGAGGACGTGAGGCACGAAAGTTTCGCCGGTGTTACGATCGAACATGACCTCGTCGAACGCAGCCATGCACACCTCCGCTTCGTCGTTGCTGATGCTGATGTGGTACTCGTCTGCCACCGCGCAGCTCAACACGAGCATGGGGATGGCCATCTCATGGTCGGCACAGTCTACGGCTGCCGAGCATGCCGGCGACTCATCGCATCTCTCGAAATCGTCCACCAGCGCATTCGACGGCGATCGACATGGACGACGAGTCTACTGGAATGTTGGTCGGCTCTCTCCCTGCCGGCGCTTCCAGTGGACGAACACGTGCGCACGAAAGGCATGAGAGCTTACATTACAAAGCTTGCCATCACCTACACAGATTGAGAAGACTCCAAATTCACCCTGAAACCAAACCGAAGCCGACAATCTCAATTGCTCTATCTACGGAAGAAGCGTATCATGGTCATAAGTGATAATATGACTATTCTTTTCTGCACATAGATGTCTTGATTCAGAAATAGCGATGAAAAGTGAGTGTAAGAATATACTAGCTTTTAAACATATGAATAAGCGGTATAAAAATTCACTACTATCATAACAATGAACATGTTTTAGATTCTTCAGTTCATATTCACTCTCGAATCGAAAAACTCTAAAAAAACCGTATGAATAGTACTACATTGTTATTTCACATAACTACATTGATATAAATATAACTACTTATAACTACTTGTATAAATAATCATGCGTATTATTTAACACATGCAATAGAACCATTTTATTCAAATTCTATCATACTTCAAGATAGATGAACGAAAATAATTTCCATATTGTACTCTTTAGATCTCTCTCTCTCTGATAAACATGTAAAAGTTGGAAACAAATCTCATGTATGACCCAACCAACAGAACGCTAACGTGACTTTTATGTGCAGCATTTTGTGTCAACCCAATGGCTATTCAAATTAAAGTACAAGCTCATTTTGTTTCAAGAATCTGGAAGATGTTTCGTCCCGTAGCACCTTGTTCTCTACCTCTGGCGTCCTGGTGAAGCTCAGACCTCGCGTTTCCATTTGTCTGTGTTGTCCTGAACACGATGGATGAGGTGATGTGTACGATTCGACATGCCCCAATAACTCGAGTAACCGGACCTGGCGATGTTGTGATACATTTGATGGCCATGTTTATTTTCGAGAAATGTGTTTGGGTGGATCCTCGTGTTGAATATTGTGTCAACTCCAGTTTAAGCAGGTCGACAGACTGAGTTTAATGACATCTTTCGTGACTTTATCCTTGATCGTTCTGGATCTGCAGAGATCATCCTGGAGAGCATAGGACTCTTGATCATTCTTAATCATTCACGAGGAAGATTCTCGTCCTTCGTTCTATCTGTCATGCTGAGATAAACTTCTCTGGGCGTCTCGTCTTGCTGCCTCATCTTCCTGACAGCTCCAATCCCACAGCATATTTTGATGCACTTTGCCTTCAAGTTTTCATGGCCATTGGACAGTGTGCCGATGCAAGAGCATGCTCGGAAAAGTCTTTGGTGTATATTCTGAAGAATCCTCAGGTGTTTCCGACAAGTTTCACCACTGTAGGCTGCACAGAAGAGCTGGTAGTATTACTTCACTATCGATGCTGAGTTTACTCCGAGTGTTCAGAAGATAACTATCATCTTCACCGACAATACGGAAGTATGACTGTTTTACTGACTAATCTCACCCTTCCTAGATAAGTCAAACCTCTCTGACGAGTAATATATTAATGCCTCATCATTGCGCGATGGATCTTATCCAGACTGATCGTACAATGACCAAGATATTGGAAGGACAGATGCATCAGATATATGACAGGATCGATGCCGCAAACTGTGTTCTACGAGATCGGAATCACATCTTCGACATAACAATTTCTCATCATCGAAACCCTCAATATATCTTACAATGACCTGAGCGACTTGGTAAAATGTGTGGAGTATATTTAAGTTGTCACTCCATTCGACCACAGCTTATTGCACAATAAGCAATACCCTCGCATACACCACTGACACAATTTCTTTGCTTCCTCTTGGGAATTCGTTCAGCAATTGAATACCCACTTCCATCGCATTAGAAAGAAAGAACATCAATTCTCGCAGTTCATGCCATGTGACTCCCCGGCATCGGTCGAAAGACTCGGGTTGCTATTGGAATACACAAATGAATAAGGAACTCACATGGCTGAGAACTTGTGACCGTAACAAATTAACTGCTGATCACCTCTGACTTCTCGACGTCTCATCACAGGCATGTAGTCAACGGCGATAATGTCCTTCAACGATACATGCGAGTGAATGATTCCAGTTGCGGTTACTCACGTGCAGTTGCAAAGACAGGAATTGCGAACACCTACAAGTCACTTCACATGATGAACAGGAGTACTGGGTACTGACTCATATAACAGGTACCAGCAAAAACGGATAAATGGTTCAAACATCTTAAATGGAACGCTGTTGCGTGCGGCTTTATATTGAACAGAAAATGAATCTTGACACACGAGAAGGAATACCATGCGGCCGCATTAACTAGCCACGAGACGTGGATGCACAAACGTAAAAAAAAGTTCTCGGGACCCATAAGTATATGGGACCACATCAGACCGACGGGCATCATAAGGTCCACGACTTATCACCGAGTTCCAACCTCGACAACTGACTACGTCTGATAGGACATATCAACCACCTTCTTTGGAGCTTAGGGTGGGACGGGACTCGAAAGTCAGAAGACTTGATTGATCAGGATTGACTGGGAATATATGGGGCACATCGAATCGGGTACATCATAACAGACGAAATTCAACCACATTCTCGACCTATAAAAAATACAGAATAGCGGAAGCCTTGGTGCATTTGATATGCTGAGCTGAGGATCCAAGATTCAGCGGCGCATAAATCAAAGTAGAAGTTACTGCACTCAACAAACTCAAAGCCACTGGTTGCAGAAACTAAAAAACTAGTGCTCCAACAACTTAAATCACAGTTGCAGAAAGTAAGCGACCACCAAATGAAGTGACGAAGTGTAAGACCATACAAGCAAAATGAAGATAAGAGATATTTATGCAATAAACGTCACCAGGACTGATGGGTCAACATACAGAGCGTCACGCATCCGTTTCTCGCGTAAATCAACCTTCTTTACTAAAACCTGGAACCAGTCATCGGAGAAAGACTTCTACTAACGAAACCCTGGTCACGATTCGGCACTTCGAACTGAAGTTTTGAACGATAACCTACATGGGACAAACTATAAGACGTATTCATGTCACAGATGATGTAAACAAACCTATTCCGAAGACTATCAGTGTCGAGAGATATGATCATTAAGACCACGTCATCACGAGCGAGAGAAACATGAACATAACACACAGACGTAACAACTGAGATGATGATTGGCAGATTTGACCTTGCGAACCAAACGACTTGTCAAGTGCTGAACGCTAATGACGTGCTGGGCGACTCTTACAGCACCATACTTCCCAATCTCTTAGTTCTCAAGGACAAGGCTTAAACTACAGAAGATAACAGATTCTGTGGCCATTGACATAAGGAGAAAGACAACGGCTGAGTGACTTACTTAGGGTTGAAGGAAGGAGAAAGTACGGAATTCCAGAATTTTGGACAAAATCGCTCGTCTAAAGCCAAACCTTTGACGGGTAGACCATGCCGATTTCCTTGTACGATGCATCACATAAAACTGTATATGCTGAATGCAATACTGTATGAATGCTAAGTAAAGGATCTAGAATACGCTAGATATATACCCTACATAATAAGATGTCGTCCAGAAGAGTGATCCAAGAGAAGAACATGATAAATAAGCTCGCATTAGAAAGAGATGTTTATTCATCAAAGGGTGAAGCAAGGGTGAAGCAAGAATACGAGAATTGTTATGCCTTCTTCAATGGCCTGAAAAGCATGAGAACTGAAGAATATATCTTGTTTGGAGACGCTGCAGAGAAAGTTCAAAACGAGACTCTTAAAAGGTAGATTCTATAGAAATCAATAGCACGTCTGTATCTAAGAACACAACGATTCAAACTGAGATAAAATTTCTATGTGAACCGAACCTAATTTAGCAAGGAGCGCAGAGAGGTGACGAAAGTTCGACGAGGTAAGAGGCCACCCAAGTCTTCCAATTTTGAAATAAAGGTGCGAAAATTCTGGTGTACACATCTTTAAATTACATCCATCCTCTCCATACAGAACACGACGACAGAAAGACTAAATTAAGATCCTATACACGCTGCAAGACCTGCGAAAACTCATAAAGTGGGATGCAAGTCATGCAAATGACACGGAAGACTTCACATAAACCAAAATGGTGGGCCGAGATGTGACGAGATGTGACGACAATGAAAGATTCTGAAAATGAGAAACCAATCAGAGATGCCTCAAATCTTCGAAGAAAAATATCGAAACGTAGACCGACAAATGACTGCACACATTTACTCCCCGGGTGTCTGAAAGCCTGAATGATTTCGAAGTATTGAACAAAAGGAATGGTCAGTCACGTTCAAAAGGCTTTTCGCCTGAAACATCAGCACCTCAGTTCTAATGTGTACAGGAAATGGAACTTTGCAGGTCAGTGCGAATGACCAAAACTCGTTTGTTGAACAGTCTCGGAGCAGAAAAGTGTGAACGACATCGACTGGTAGGGTAATTCACACCTGGTGGCAGCAATTTCAAAGCCCTTATCAACCGCAACATGACAAAAACTACGGAGCTGAGCCTTCTACCCATGTACTGCTCATATGAATCAGAGCCTACCTGTTGCACGGCTGTCAACCGCAAAAGCTAGAAACTTGTTCTTGCTAAAAAACATTCACAGCCCAAACAATCTAGTGTATAAGAGCACATATTTACGTGCCTCTGTGTATTGGGATTCAACTTTTTTGGAAGTCTACAACTCTACAGAACTTCACAAACCCAGCGTCGCCTCGCCAATGGTACATGGCGTTTCGGTGTGGATGGTAACCTCGAGGAGACTTGCAGGTGCTTTTACTGGCAAAATTCCAATCATCACACATTTGTTGACATGGTGACAGGGTTGAATGGGGAAACATTGCCCGGTGAAGTACCGTTCATATCAAGAACTTGTATTTGCGACGGTGGCCTTGGTGAAGTTTGACACTGCATTTGCCTTCGTGCTCGATACCTCGTCTTCAAGATTTTAAAAACTTTGTAGGATAGGAAGAAGAGGATCGTTATGGCTGCAAGGACAGCTCCAGTCACCAGAATGGTGTAAACGTCATCCGCCATCGCAGTATACATCCATTAAAACCGTGGCTGCCCAAGCCACCAGGGCACTAAAGAACTACAGAGGGTAATTTTACTTTGTGCAGTTGAGAGATAATGAAACAAAGGAGAAGGTTCTAAAGTGAAGCCTGAATCTACCATTCAGCCTTGGATAGGTTCCCGAGATAAGGGCTCCTGAATCGGCTGACCACCGTCGGCCGTAAGAAAAGACTACCAAGGGTTATCTACAACTGCGAAGGAAGGAAGGTCCAAGAATTGACACTGATGTGGACGTCTGAAACACTCTGAAGGCAGGAGTAAAGCTGAACCACAGGCTTACACTATACATCCCTTCTTTTAAACGATTCACCTGGAAAACCAAAATTTCACGTGTTAATATAAAGACAAATAACAGGAGTAACAACCGGGATTCCGAAAATCTCTTGTTATGCAGATATATCCCGCAACTGATGATTAGTGACAGGTCGAAAGATTGTCTAAAGAACACAAGTGTCATGCAATTGATAATGTTGATAATCATCAATTCCATGTGAAGGAAAGCCGCAGGTTAAAGAAAAATTGGAAGCGTGACATTTTCGAGATGGTACAACATTGCAACTTGCTTAGAGGCAAAACACAAGTCCGGAGATTAAAAGGTCCTGCAATCGGCGAAAAATGGGCGGAGAGCATGCACTCTCCGTGCCTTCTTTCAGACATAGCCAATTTAGCACCAATTAAAACCCGTTTTGCAACGACAGTTAATAGACAACATGGAGACATGTTGTCTGCCAATTAGTAAGATAACCAAAGTTTGGATTACAGATATCCTGGGAACGCTGAAGAATAGATAGGCAATCCTCCAGGGATTAATAACGCTACGTTGAAAACAACCCAAGGTACACCTGCGCACTCCCGAAAGGGAAAGATATGGGAGTAAAAACGATACTTCAGCTGTTTACAGCTTCTTTTATCGTTATATCGATGTTTTGATAGCGCAAGTGGAGCTGACACAATAAAAGAGGTAAATCAAACACATAACGTCAAATATACTTTCAAATCCCCAGGTAAGCCACTGAAACTGATAACAGCGAAGGTTCGAGTGTGTACCAATTTTGGCAGATTGATTTCAGCTCGTGGAATCCACTGAGATCTCGACTGGACGGGGCATCCAAGAACAACGCAACTGTTTCTCCTTCAATGGTAACTCCTCCAGGAAACTAACGTGTACAACTGCAACATGTTGGTCGCTTTGAGACCGGACTACTGCCACTCGAGTCACTCTGCAACAACCAGCACCTGATGTTAGATGCAAGCGCGCAGAACAAGGATGCTCGAGAAGAGAGAACGACATTTGACAAAATTAATCACGACATTTGCCAATTACGTTCAGCCAGGCGGAAGATGGATATCCACAAGTCCTGCATCTCTTGTCACGCCCAGAGAGTTATGACTTTTTGCATGTCGGAAGCTCGAACTAGATCCTATCGGCGCATTAAGCGGGCAGACAAGGCATTAATCGCGACGCAGAGACTTCAACCAGCTTACTCGTGCTGCAATCGCATGCGATACGAACTCTCGACGGTGTAGATCGACCAGCACAGGCATCCGAAATGGAATTCTAGGCCAAACGGTTGACTGCCCGTGTCGACGACTAGCTGGTCAAACAATTCAACGCCCTGGCCTCACAACAGAAACGGTACTACACGTGAATATCATGAAGGCTGACCGAAATGTTCTCGAGCGTAACATGGGACGGCTTTGCCCATCGACTTTCGACTCGAACGACTGAAAAGTAGAGCAACTCGATATCAAAAGCACCTGAAATGGTAAACCAACCACGTCACGTCTAGCACAGTGGCACGAGTCCCCATAACAATTTTCCTCGTTTTCAGGGAGCACCTCCTGCGCACATTCCGCTTTGGCGAGCGAACAATTCGTGCTTCGCATCAAAGCGCTCGGCCCGCGTCAATCTCATGCGTGTCCTGTAATCAAAGGCGTCGTCTATTCGCGAACCTCCCCAGCGAGACGGGCACTCAATTCATCGTGGCAAGCTAGAACAGTGCAATTGCCGAGATGCTCTGCCCTCGAGCGAGCTCGCCACAAACTACCTTCCACGGCGAGAATTACTGCTTCCGTTAGATCAAATCCACGGGTCGGTCTGGCGCCCAATCCCGCCGACGCGAATGATGAGATTGTTCGAGCGCTCGGGACATGCTAATGGGACCGGAATTGAGCAGCTAAGAAGGCTCCCGTAGTGAGCGTATGCTGTTGGCAGGCAGCCGTTGCTCGTTCCCGGGCGGTTGACCAACTTCTCATATGGGCACCATAGCCAAGGCAGGCAGGCGCACGCACGGACGGACCTAGAAATGTACGACGCCCGACCAGTATTCGTCGACCAACCGGCGCATGGGCGAGCCGAGCCGTTCACGAGCACCCAAAATTTCTGCGTGGTGGGCACGAGGGCTCGCGGATCTCACAATCGACCTCGACAGGACACTTGAGAGCACTTGAACCCATCCATCTTCGCTGCCTGCCCAGAGCCTGAACCAGACGCAGAAGCGGAACCCGGCCCCTCGGCCCACACACCAGCCAGCCAGCCCTGCCTAGCCCAGAAGCGCCCCGGCTTAGGAATTGAGAGGAGACCTGCAGGGGAATCTCACCTTCACGTGCGCTGTTGGTGTTGGTGCTCGGCGGGGTGTAAGTGAGGGATGCTGCCGATCTCAACCTCCTCAGTCGAACCCAATCGGCTCGCTGCTGCTGCTGCTGCTGCTTCTGCTGCTGGTGATGCTGCTGCTTCTCATCTACTGCTAGCTAACTACCTCCTACAACTCAAAAACACGTTCCCTTGCGTTGAGCTTTTAAAGTTTCCATCCCTTCATCTCTCAATGGCGAGGAAGGAAGGCAACATCCACAATTCGGACAAACGTTCAGCAAAGCAGTTATAAGGGGGACATAATGACATACGATGGCTCGAGGGGGAGGGAGGGCAGCTGGTCACAGGGACATGCCCACCCAATTGTTGTACAGAAACCGGAGTAAAAAAAATACAAATTCAGCGCTTTCGCTCGCTCGCTCGCAAGTCCAGTCCAGACCAACACAAAAGTTGGCTTAGCACAGATTCTGATCGCACGTCCAGACGACAAAGCGCATGTGGTGGTTGGGTTTAGGGTTTGGCCCGGGGCCAGTATTCCCGGAAAATGAACTCTCGCTGCCTGCAAGCCAGCCTTAAACACTGCCTAAATTATGGCGCTTGCTGATCACCAGCACCGAACCATCTGCTCTGCCCCCCGAGATGCGTTGAATGTAATCAACTCAATAGTGGCACACCAAGTCATAGAGCAAAGAGGATGGGAAGAATGTGATCACCTGGCTCTCACATTCTTAGACAGTTGACTTTCTCACTCTTAACGCCCACACTCTCGCACACTCTCTCTCCCTCCCTCCCCTCCCCTCCCCTCCCCTGCCCTGTCTGCCTGAGCTTGCTCTACTGCTGCTGCTGCTGCAACATGTACACTATACATCATACGAGGGGGCCGGGTGGCTTCAGGTGCTGTGGGCAGGAAGGGCGGGATGGAATGAGGAATGGAATGGAATGCTTGCTCTGCTCTCTCTCTCTCTCTCTGCCCTCCCTTTTCCGTCTCGCTGTGCCGCCTCCTCTCTAATTGAGAGCGCAAACTCTGAGTCAGTCAGCCTCCTCCCGGTTGGCTCTTTCGGCAGCGCTGTTGCTGTTCCTGAGGGCATAGAGAGAGAGAGACCAGTACCGATTCAGCTCATCCCGCTTTTCCAGCGATGAGCCCCCATCCTGTCACACCTCCTCCTCCTCACTTTGCTTTGCTTTGGTTTCCTGGTATCCCCCTCCCTCAATCTCTGCCCACCGTCATCATGCGCTCCGCTCGCTGCGCGCTCTCACCTTCGCCCTGGCCCTGCCCCGTCCCTCTCCTCCCGTTTTCTGCTCTCTGTCTCCCTCTCGCTCTCCCGCTCGCTGCGTCCCGGCTGCTGATGGATGCGTCAGGGGGGTGCCATTGCGCTTGGATTGGCTGCTGCTCCCGTGCAAACAGGCCCCTCCTCCTCCCTCTTCCAGCTTGGATTCGCAGACGTCCTCCGTCCGTCGGTCTCGCCTTCCGACCGGACGGAGCGTCTCCCCCTTCCGTGACTTCTGGCCCAGCGCCCAATATCCTGTGACCTCGCCAGCCCCCTCCTCCTCCACCGCTGGAAATCTCCGGCTTCGCTGCGCCATTATCCATCCTGCCCCCGAGAACCGAACCGAAGACAACCGCGTCGACGTGGACGTGGTTCGAGGGCACCGCGGTGAGAGCCGCGATTTTCCAGAGGAGATGAGCGGGTGAGGGGAGTGGGAGCACGGGAGCAGGCGCGGTCAGACCCGCGGACCCTCGGACCCTCGCCCGGCATGCGACTGCAGGGCCTGGAGATGCCGTCTGGAAAGATGATCGCACACCTCCGGGTTCGGATTGGCGCAAAGGCCTTCGTCTTGCTGCCTTTTCTTGTTCGCTTCTGAAAAGGCGCAGGCCGAATAGCCGAAAGGATATCAAATTGTTTAATATTGTTATACTGCCGGATACTAAATAATATCACCTCTTATAAAACAGATCTCGCACCAAAGACGCGACGACCCCATCATGTCGTACACGGATGAAATCATCTTTGCTCTTTGATTGCTTCCTGCCTTTCTCGAGGTGCACGACTACGGGGCCCGGTCATGGCCTGTCTTGAGGGACGACTGCGCAGTTTGTGGAAAATGGCCTCCAATACATATCTCATCCGTCCTGTAGACGCGAGGCAGCGCGTCCATCTCTGTGTTCACCGGACCACCATGTCCCTGACCAGTTTCCCCTACCTCACAGGACTGCCGTACTGTGCGTCCCGTGCGTTTCACCGGAAGCCCCCGGATTTCACTCAAGCTCCAGCGCATGTATTCTACGGGGCAGCTTCCAGCTGCCCGTGCGAGATACAGTACGAAGTCGCGAGAGAGAAACATGGCGACCGGGGTGGGCACTGTAAGCAGCAGCAGCAGCCCGCCAGCCCCATGCAGGATTTGACAGAGCCTATGGATTCAGGGTCAAGCAGAAGGGGGCTTATCGCTACGAGAAACTCGGGTGGAAGTTTCTCCAGCGAAAGCGATCGGATATTGCAGGCGCTGGGCAGAGGATGCAACGTGAGCGGGCCACGGGGCAGAGTGAGGGGACAGGTGAGCTGAAGCGCTGCGGAAAGAGAAAGGGAAGCAGCGTGCAGGCCCGGGCAGGGGAAAAAAAGCCAACCCAGGGGCGACAGTGAGTCCAACAACGAGAACAACAAGATCGGCCAACAGTCCCCCCGGGTACACATTCCCATAGCGGTTGTTGGAAAGCTTGACACGTTCGCCGGGCTCGGCTCGGCTCGGCTCGGCCCGGAGTTCAGGAGCCTCGGCAGACTCGGCGAGATGCGTCGCGGGTGACCGGGCTAGGCAGGGGGCAGGCACCCGGCCCGGCCGAGGCCCGATGGCGCCATGGGACAGCATATGCCCAGTCTAGATGCCACCGCGGGAGCCGGCTGTCCAGGTGGCAGCGCTCACGGGTCTCACTGAGTCAGAGCGTGCCATATTTACGATGCAGACAAGGTACACCCCGCCATGTGTAGCAGCGTGCGACCTTCTCTCTATCGGCCCCCTGCTGTGAGAGAATAAAGCCACGCCCACCTCCTCCTCCTCGCTGCGGCTGCCATAGCCGCTGGCCCTACGACCCGCCCCTCTCCCGCCCTCGTCCTCCCAGCCATCGTCGGTCCCTTTGACCTGCTTGCTAATTACGGTGTGCGCTAACTCGCCCAGTTGCTATCACATCCATCGGAGACGGGATCCAACATCGACGTCCTTAAATCTAGGCGCTCTTCGTCCACCCTTTCGATCCCGCTCCCTCCACAATCGTCCCGGTTCCGGCCAAAATCTCCACCACGTCTGTGGTCTTCCTTTGGACCTCCAGGGGCGGGTGCTCTCCTGACTACGCAGGCGGAAGCTTCGTGGCAAGTGCCCGCTTCCGGTCTCCGGTCACGAGGCAGCCTTGTGGGCCTCTTCTGTCTTGCTCGTCCGAGTCTGGACCCGTCCCCTTGACGCGGCAGCAGCCGCACGTCTTCGCCTTACCGCTCTGCCGTTTACCGTTAACGGACTGACGTAAACAAGAGGTCGGGTCCTTCATTCCGGCCCCACTGCGACTCGATTCCTCGATCGTACGACGCGTGGGCGATATACGGAGGAGGGGGGAAGCGAGAGAGGTGCAAATCTTGCATCGTTCGGAACCCGCGGTAACTTTTCGTAACTGAATCATGACGTTGAGTGTGGGAAATTCCTCCCATATCCGATGGCTCCTTCATTTCATCGACCGGTCTGCAGGATGCCGGTGGGTTTACATCATCCTGGGCAATAGAAGCCAGGCTACTGTGGTATCCGGCTAGCCCCTACGTGCAGATCGGTAATTCAATGTAGACTGTAATCACTGGACAAACTTTCCCAGGTACCTGTAGAAGGAAATCCTGTGCCGGTGGTGTGACGTTGGCCTCCGGTGAAATTACCACGAAGTCCGAGGTGCGGACCGAGGGCAGATGAAAAGGCATGGGACCATGGCCACGTGGCAAGGCTGTCCGTGCGATTGACACACGGGATCCCCCAACCTTTACTGCGGACTACACATCCGCTGCTGGGGCTGGCTCCGACTTCGTCCTCGGCTAGCCTCTACTGCTGCTGCTGCTGCAACCGTGGTTCAGCGCAGCAGCAGCCCCGCGATCTGTCATTTGGCGAGAATTTGCTGACATGGCACTGTCGACCTCTCCAGGCAACCTGCGTGGTGTGGTGTGCAGAGCGCTTTACAACAACGACGTCGACCTTCCTTCTCCAGAATCGTTGACGAGCCGTCGCCGAGCACAGCCATGTCAGCAGGCCCCCAGTGCGCGTTGGTCCCCGTTCCCTCCCGCTGTACAGCAGGTCCAGGGTGCAGGTATGGACATTCCGATGCACTGTACTTTTGCATCTGCAGCACAGCTTTCGAAATTCAATGACTGACGGCAAGCCCACCTACGGAATTTCATGTCTAGCCTCGTCTTGATTGGTCTCCATTTCACGGATTCTGCTGATCCTTTCCACAGCCGATGGTTTAAGAGCCCAGTGTGACCGAGCTTGTGGCCAAATTCATAACCTCAGTTTCCAATTCTTCGATCTCTGGCTTTGAAGTTGGATTGAGATAGTAAGCCTGAAGTCAACTTGTTCGCCACAAAGAGCGACCATCCCCATCTAGGATCTATTTTAGTCCAACCAATTCCAGTTTTTACCATATCTTTTATAAATAAAAAATAAATCATGGCAATTACTTATAAGTTACTATTCGTTATACATGATTACAAATCCATCATTTGATACCTTGAGTAAGATATGACATCTTTCACATTAGGGTCTATGCCATTGTTAACTGCTCTGTCACATTTCACTAAGGAACACTTTTTGCTATTTTTTTTTGGCAATAATCACATACAATGCTCATCTCTTTTTTTCTTCCACTCAATAATGGTAAATAAGGTGAGAAGTATATTGTGTTATGGGGAGAAAAGCTGCGCTCATGATGAGTGTACATTATCACTGAAGTAAACATGCATGTAAAATTTTTATTTGGAACTATTATTAAAAATAAATTGGTGATGTTACATTCATCCGAAATTTGGATAATAATAGACAACTTTTCCTATTTTAATTCCGATCAAAATTGATGACTTAACACAGTTTTGACACATGAACATTGTTAACTTTTTCCGGTTTATAGCTTGAAGTAATATTTGATTGATTAACTAGAATTTTTTTGATTAAAAATGTTCAAATTATTTAAAATAAAACATCTTATAGAAAATTTTAGGGTTTATGATAGAAAGTTCAAATGATCATAGAATCTCAAAATTTAACATATGTAGATGTGATGTAAACGAAAATACCACACGGATATCAATATTTAACTTGAATATAAAAATATACAAAATCATGTCAAGTATAATATATGCGTAGAGAAATATTTCTTTTTTTTCCTCCCAAACTTGCTCTCACACACACTTTAGATGATGATTCTTCAAATATTCCAGTCACTGAAGAACGCTTTAATTTATAAAATTTTGATGTTCTATTTGTATAATATATATATATATATATATATAATTGTGATATTATTTGAACCTAGACCCATTATAGATACAATCCTTTTGTTCGAATCTTCTCGCGCGTCTTTCTACACTTTACCTTACATTAGACTAGATTCAGTCTTATAAAATATTTCATATACCTTGCTCTCATATTCGGTTTCTTCCCTCAAACAACATCTCTTTCTCTCGATTGACACAACGTACGTCCTCCTGTTGACAAACGTCTACGCGCATCGTAAATATTACGTCGGCTCATTTAAGACATCACTTGCTCGGGTGATAGAACAAGTCCTCGGTCTGAGAATGAACATTGCGAGCACTCCGTTGCCCAAAATTTGGGAACAAGATCGCATGCGATTAATTCTTTGGGATGAGATTCTCGGTTGCTAGACTCCGGTAGAAGTTGCTCAATCACAAGGTAGGAACAAAATCAATGAATTAAATTGTATTGTATTGACATGTGCCGTACTGCGGATGGAGGCCCATAAGATACATGACTTGGCTACGAGGCCCAAAAGTATATGATGAGACGATAGGAACCTTCAGGGTTCTCTTTAATTATGCTTTCGGAGGTGAGGGTAGTTGTGTCCTAAAGCATGGTGCAAAAATAGGAGAAATGATCACCTCGTTGACGCAGGTGAGAAGAGGAAAATTCACAGAACTTCCGTGAATCATTGTCACATGATCGATCTTCAGACAGCATGCGAAAAGCAGTACTTTGTTTCGAGAATCATCGCCGAGGACCGGGAAACCGAG